ATTACTTAGAAGCTAAAGTCCAGTAAAGACTAGAAAGTAGAAAAGGTTTGAAGGGATTAAGTATGGAGAGAAAAGCAAAAGAATGAAGAACATTGTGGGAAATCCATAGTTAATAAGTAGAAGGAGAAACAGCAACTCTAAGAAGATTAAAAAAAAAAAAAGAAATAATCTTCATAGAATAAAAAGGGTAGTAACAGTGGACCAAGAGAGCTGTATTTTGATCTTCTTGTCAAAAACTATCTAGAAAGTAGTATGTAATTCCCAGAAGTGATGCAGTATGGGAATGTAGAATGTGATAGAGAACTCAGAACCCCTCAATAGATCTGGTAATCTATTAGGAAAACATGTAGTTGATGTTTCTTCGCCCCCTCCCACCCCACCCATGATAGGATCTGGTTTATTCTGTTATAATAGGGTGGTCTTGAATGGCAGGAGCCACCTCATACTTGATTAAGGGATGAAATGAGGGCTAATGAAGGCCAGTAGTTGGAGAAGTTAGGAGGTGATGGCAGTACAGGCCATAGGGACAACCAGACATGGCTGAGCTGGACATGTAGATACAATGTTGGTGTCACATATGAACCAGGATATTTTCCCTATATCCTCATAAATACTCAATTTCGAAATTTTTAACATTATTAATGACCTAAGGTGGCATTCAACATTTCTGCCAATCGTGTTTCTTAGCATTTGTCCAGAAAACAGTCATTGTAGTCAAGCTAACTTCCTTAAATACATTTTCAAAAATCTCAAAAAAAAAATTATCAGTGCTTCAATTCAACTAAGTGAGGTATTCTGAAGTAAAAATATTTAAATTCAAACCAAAATGATAAATAGAAACTAACTTCTCACTACTTCAAAGAATTCTTCCTCACAGATATATCACAAAGCTACTGATTAAAACTACTTTTAAGTGATGTCTGTATAATGTTAAACAAATAGTAATGGGATCACTTGAGATCTACCACCAAAACACTTAGTATTATAGTAGCCAAATTTTCTAGTCAAACTGAATGATGCATTTTCATATTTGATAAGAATAATCAGCTTTGATAGAATTTCACTTGATAGAAGAATAAAAAGTTGAGCCAACCGCATCTGAATTTTATTGTTGCAGTGTTCCATTCTTCTATTATTAAACTTCATACAGTGAGGGTGCTAGCTTGCTTTTGGCACTGAACAAGTACAAGCAATTGATCCTAATGGTTTTAAATTTGAGCGTTTGGCAGGACTAGTTAACAAACTGATACTTTCCTTCTGAGTTTCCCCTTCATGACCTAGATTTCTTTTAACTTTTACTTTTCTTTTAGAAAAATCTACATTTTGACAAACCTTTGCAGATCCAGCCATTATACAATTTATACTTGAAAAGAGACAATGAGTTTTTGAAGGGGTTCCTTGCCAACATTTCAATTTGGCAACACTGTCCTTGTGGAGTTATTAGCAACAACACTGCAAACATAAATTCAGATACATGTAGCCCTTGACAGACAGATGGCCACTTTACTTTCAACACATGTAAATAGCTACAGAGGTTACTCACACTACCACAGGTCCAACTCCATTCTTTCTCCAATCATATGTGAGGCGGGGACTATAGTCATGAAAACCATCTCAGAAAAAAACGGGAGCTTCTGAATTTTAGCAAAAGGAAAAACAAGCATGTCAAGGGAGTAGATACAAAAGGAGGACAGACTATGTGGAGAGAAAAGTGAAAGAATATAGGAAAGGAACTGTGTAAAGGAGGTACAAATATAACAAAACTTATTTTAACCATGAGATTTTTTTACGGAATCAAGCCTGTGCTCAAAAGGATAAGCAGAAAATGTCCTTTCTCACCATAGGTGCAAGAAATTAAAACAATAAAAAAGTAAAAAATTAAAATTATTGCTGGCTAGCCTAGAAAAAATTACCCACCAAAACAATTTTTATAAGAAAATGTATTCCAAGTTCTAAATTCATCCAGCCAATACCTAAATCTAGTGAATAATACAGATAAGGTCCCAGCTCCTGTGCACAGTGAGGAAACAACTGAAAACTTGTAAAACAAATAATAACATTGCAAGGTGTAATGGGTTCTGTGGGAAAACAAAATGCTGAGCCAGAAAATAGTTGGGAGTACATGTTTTAAATAGGGTGACTGAAGTTTCTGAGGAAGTAACTTTTATTCTAAACTTAGGAAAAGAAGGAAGGAGATGGTTTAAGGGCAAGAAGAAGAATAGTTTTAAGAAAATGGAACAGGCCCTGAGGCAGAAGAGAGCTTATCTTTTTCAAGTACCTGAGGAATCACAATGGCTAGACAAGAATAAACAAGATAGAAGAGTGGAACAAAAATGAAGATAAAAAGAGTGCGACAAAAATGAAGTTTGAAAAGTTAGACAATGCAGAAGCAAAGAGCTGAGATTTTATTCTGATGTCATGGAAAACCACCAACAAATTTACAAAGAAACCTACAATTCTGGGCACAGGCTAATTGTTAACTGAGGATAGTTTTCATAAATCATAAAACTGAATATTTTAAACTGTAAAAAATTCCCACTGCCTTTAAGGCTCCAGAGTCCTGCACTCTTGGTAATACTTGATGCATTTTGAACATTTTCTGTTTATTGTGGGTCTCCCCGCCCCTTCCTCTCATCACACGCACATTGCTTAGTAATTTCCATATTTGTTAATATTTTTTTCTTTCTATCTTGTACTATACCTAGCACTAAGTAATTAGTACGTACTTAACAATGAACAAATATGGACACATCTAGTATTTAATGAGCACTTAGTTGTTTCTAGATATTAGGGAAATAGAAAGATTGAAATATTCCATATTCTCAAGAAGCTCAAAAGGTGGTGGTGGGGTGGTTGTAGTCTTATAAATGGATAAATTATAACACGATGCCAACAAATTGTTTGGGGAGTCCAAAGGAGAAGACATATGGTCTGACAAAGCATTTTCTTTGTACATACATGAATATTTATGTGAAAGTCCAACAAAAGTACAAGATTATAATCAGAGATATTTAATGAATACACTTACTAAAATTACACACAATAGTGGGCCTTAAAAAGTCTATCATGTAAAACATTTGTGTTTATAGTGGCTGAGGATAATGACATTTGCCTACCATATTTCTGTTGTGACTTTAGCATGGGGTACATCTGACTAGCACATTAAAAAAAAAGACAAAAGATAAAAACCAAAAAACTTCAACTGCTGAGCAGAGGACAAGGTAAACTTACACAATATCCAACCTGTTATGTGAAATTCCAGAATTTTCATTCCTCCCCCCACATCTAAGGGTGCCAAGTTTTGATCTGCACTGATTCAGCATTATGTTTACAATCCTTTCATAGGGAATTTGTGATACGTACTCCTTCCCACCTTATGGTACTACCAAAGGAAAATACGAATAGCTGGCACTACCAGGAAAGGAGGCATATTATAAAGAATAAGAAAGGAGAAAGGAAGAAAGAAAAAAGAAAACTAATAGGAAAAAAGGATTAAATTCAGCATTACTTAACAAATGATGCATACAGCAAGTTTACAGAAACAAAAGCCTTTTCAGCAGACTTGGAAGCAAAAATACTACGTGTAAAACAACTTGGATCTAGTGTTTTGCTTAAGTGCAATCTTGCATTCTTTAAGAAAGGAAGTAACTTTCTGGGGGAGGGCGGGTAGCAAAAGTCTTGCATTTCATAGAATATTTTAAAAAAGAAAATATGCACCCTAGAAAAGAAATTGCTATGCAATAAAATGTAACTGTCCTTAATAGGAGAGGCAGAGAAGAGTCGTAAAAACAAGTTGTACAAGAAGCTTTTAAGTGCTTTTCTCAGCATAGTACAAATACGTAGCAAAATCCTTTCAGAACTTCAATCCCTGGAATTTTATGCAAAAGCCAATTGTTCTAAATTGGTAATATTATAAACACCCTCATCCCAATCTATGTTGTTTTTTGAGCCAGTCAAGTACAAAAGTATTCGAACACATTTCTACAAGTTCGACAGCAGGTACTAAATTTCCTGACTACGTTCAGATAAAACATTAATATTTGTTCAAAAGCATCTATACATCCGTCTACTGCAGTAGAGATTCGCTTAACTAAAAGATCTCAAGCAAAATCACACATTCAACACCAATGATGCAAAATGCCACACACACACACACACACACACACGACACAAAAATGCCACGCACGGTATTCTGGAACACAAACAAGGATAAATGTAAAGATCTCATTCATCTCAGCATTCCTGGGAACACTGGCCCACACCAGCGATCCTTCAGTCCATTCTCCTTCCAAGAATATTGCTGAAATTAAACCCTAGCTGGCAATCTCAGAGAGCTCGTCAATACGGGTTGAAATTTCTAGAAAAGTTGCTGACCAAGAAGCGAGGCCCAGCCATGAAACACCACCGCCGCATTCCAAAAGGAAGGCAAGCCCGGCGCAGGTCGCCACACGGTTCGTGGACTCGGCAGCACCGGGGCAGGAGGGTGTGGACCTGACAGGCAAGGTCGGTTCCGCGCGGGCAGCGCCCCAGCCCTCGACCTGCCCAGCGCTGGCCAGGCAGGCGCTTCTCGCTCCCACCACCCTCGGCTTCCTCACAGCTCCGGGGATTCCAGCCCCGGACCCCGCCACCTCAGCCTCCAGAGTCCCCGAAGGGGCCAGGAGTCGCCCCTCGTCCTCCCCACAACCCCGCGCGCGAGGCCACCCGGTTAGAGGAAGAAGGACGGCGTCTGCCTCAGCGAGTCCATCCGCATTATACCGTAATGCCCACCCCTAAGCATCCAGTSCTCTCTTCACTCGGCCTGGGAGAAACGCCTCCCACCACGTCCTCCACTTCCCAGCCGCTTCCCCAAGACCGATCCCCGCAGTCTTACCCCGACCTCAACAAGCACACCCCTAGAAATAACAACTTCGACTCCTGCCGACTGGATGAGTGATCGGCGGCAGCACTTTCACGACACTTTCGCGATTGCCGTAAAGGTAGAAAGGGTCGGGAGGAGCGGCGGCGCGCCGGGAGCTGGCCTGGCTCCTCGGGAGCGCGCCTCGGGGGCCCCGCCCTGTCTCGGAGGGGCTGRCAGGGTTCGGAGCCTGCGGGCGGCGCTGGCTGGGCCAGCCAGGTAAGATAGGCCGAAGGTGGGGTCGGTGGGGCAGGAGGACGGATCCAAGCGCCTGGAGTCCCGCCGCTCACTCTAGAGGGTGCGTCAGAGGGTGGGGTCGCAGTTCACCCATCACCCCCGGTGGCAGGGTGCGCGTACCCCAGCTGGCACCCTCTCCCTCCTGGGGCTAAACTGTGCCAGGCGCCGGAGAGGGGCTGGTGGTGACGCGAGTCCTAGGCCAGCTCCGGGGGGTCCAGAGGGAAGCTGGCGAGTGCAAGCTGGGCGCGGGTCTCCGCACCCCACTTGCCCCCACCCCTGACTCCCTGCGTACCCCGAGTGGTGCTAAGTGCTAAGCTTTGTCTTCCGCTTCTTTCCCTGACCCCAGGCAGCGCGGAATGCTGCACTCCTGAGGAAAAAGGCAGTGGTCCAAGTATTTTCTGCGGTTTTAAGCGGCTACGGATAACCTTCCCTCCAGTCCCACAAAAACTAGATTTGAGTAAGTGTTCCTGTGATCACTTCTGGGCTCAGATACCTTGGGGGTGAGGGCCAGCAGGGAAGTTTGGAATTGAAGTCCTTGGTGACCTTGTGTTTACGTGAAGCTCCATCTGCTATTCACAATTGTATTGCAGGGAGTGGTCTCAATACCGAAAGGAAGTTGCTTGTCCTGTGTGTCCTCTTATCACTTCCAATTTACAGTAGGATGCATTTGAAAAATAAAAACCACAGCCTAAAAGAATCGTTTTTTTCAGTTCTTCCATATTTTAATTTGTAAATCAGTACCCCGATGCAACTCTTTGTGTTTGAGTATCAGATTCTCATTTTTTTTCCATATAATTTATAAAGATGTTACTTAATCTGCTAGACTCTTTTAGGATTTAACCATTGGAAAAATATTACATTTGTCAGGGGGACACGTCAGAGTTTAGAATAACCATTTTCTGTTATGCTTTGCTTTTGGCTTAGTGGTTCTGTGTAGCTCGGAAAGAAGCTCAAGATTTTCTGTCACTGTTTAGAGGAGACTGCATAAAATTTTCATCTTATTACCAGTGACTTAAATATTTGACAAATATTCTAACTGGAGTTCTGTTAGGTGGAGCTTCAGAGAAAGCAGAAAAGATAGGTGAGAGATTCAAGAACATTCTGCTAACCACTGCTAGGTAAAATTATTACTGCATATTTTGAAGTATTTTTTTWAAAGGTTTCTTGAATCATTAACCATTAAAATTCTAATTTTGCTTAGCTGGGAATTACTCTGTCATGCTTTCAGCTTTCTAAGGTGAAAATACAGAAACAATTAGTACACTTTCGCACTTAGTCTGTGTGCTTAAAATTTTCACTTTTCATTGGCARAGTGGTAAACCATTTCAATCTCTGCCTGTCCTCTAAATTATTAGTTTAGACCACGAGAACCTTCATGACCTAAGGAGGTAGGAATACAAGATGATTCATTTATTCGTGTACAAGATTCTACTGAATTAACAAATGAACCGTACTATCTTATGCTTGCTCTGCTCTACTGTAAGAAATAATGCTTTGAGGGTTTGGCTGTTTTACAAATAAGAATACTGTAACTCAGAAGTTAAGTAACTTGCCTGAAGTCATATTGCTGGAAAGTGGTAAAGATAGGATTTACACTCAGATGAATRTGATCTAACAACTGTGTTTTTTAGATTGCATTTCAGGGACTAGTTAATGTTTTATTTTGCTTAATAATAAAGTATCATTCTTCCTGAATCTTTATCTTTCTTTCTCTAGGAGGAATCCTTTATGTTTTTCATTTATCCTGTTTGAGGCCAGAGGAAAGATGTCTGGTATAACAAGGGTTATAAAAGTTGATATCCTGGATTTAAAACATTATTTAATTTCATATATTTTTCACCACCATTATTTTAAAAAATTTAAGTATCAACTCTTTAAAGAAAAATGACCTATTAATATTATAGCCTAATGTTTTCCCACAAACAGTTATGGATGTGTTGACCTAAAATTGTACTGTTTTAAATTATGTAAATCAAAACAGTAATTTCATATTTTCTTTTGATATAGAATTCAGGATTTACAAAAGGTGCAAGTTTGGGCAGTTCTGAAGACTACAATTTTGTTAACTTATAAAACAGGTAATTTATCTTTCAGATCTAAAAAAGGAACAAATATTTATTGACTACTTACATATTATTTCATGTAGTTCTTGATTAAATCTCAATGAAACAACTATTTATTGAGGCTATTTAACAAATAATACTAAAAGCTACTATTTATTTATTTTTTGGCACTGGGGATTGAACCCAGGGGTACTTTACCACTGAGATACATCTCTAATCCTTTTTATTTTTTATTTTGAGACTGGGTCTTGCCAAGTTTTAGGCCAACCTTGAACTTGGGATCCTCCTGTCTCAGCTTCCTGAGTCACTGGGATTATAGGTATATGCCACCACACCTAGCTAAAGATACTATTTATTGTGCATTATCAGTGTGTTAGGTTCTTTCCTTATGCTAATAAGTATCCAGCACAGCCCAGTGAGATTTTTCCATGTTAAGGAAAGGTTCAGTATTTTTGCTATCCTGTTGGCAACCCACTACACTCATGTAGCTTTGAGAATCTGAGATGTAGCTAGGGTAATAKAGGAATTGAAATTTTAATTTTAATTAATAAGTTGAACTTTTAATTTAATTAGCTATACATACTATTGGCTATTATATGGACAGTATAGTTTGTGCTGATAATATTCCCATTTTTCAAAGGAGAAATTGATTCAGAGAAGTTATAAAGATTGCCCAAATTCACACAATTTTGTTAAAAATTTTTTTTGAGCAGTAGAATACTTTACAATTAAAAAAAATGGCTGGGCTGGGGATGTGGYTCAAGCAGTAACACGCTTGCCTGGCAGCTTGGGGCGCTGGATTCAATCCTCAGCACCACATAAAATAGAATAAAGATGTTGTGTCCACCGAAAACTGAACAATGAATATTAAAAATTTCTCTCTCTCTCTCTCTCTTAAAAAAAATGGCACACGGGATTGCCACATCCCTAGCCCTTTATTAATATTTCTTTTAAATAATTTTTTTTTGAGTTAGGGTCTCCCTAAGTTGCCAAGGCTAGCTTTGAACTAAAAATCCTCCTGCCTCAGCCTCCTGAGCTGCTGGCATTTTAGGCATGCCACCTTGCCTGGCTTTAGGAATGTAAATCTGGCAATACAAATAGAATGGATGGAAGGGAAGAAAAGTAATTAGGTCAAAAGAATTGAGAATATGAGGGTACAGTGTGCACAATGAAGAAGGATTTTTGTAAATGATTTATGGAGATAGAATTGTTATCACTGAAGGACAGTATATGAGGGCTTTGGAGAAAGGTTACTCAGAAATCCCCAAATCTGGATAACCTGGAAAAAAATGGTAATGCTGCTTATTAAAGTATAAAAACCATGAACACTTTTTAGAATTAAGATGATTTGGTTTGGGGTATTTGTTTATTCAACAAATATTGAGTGATTACTGTGGGCAAAGTCTTCTGCCATGCTTAGGTGGATAAGTAAAGTCCCTCTTCAAGGATTTTATTCACTTGAGGCACCCTCCTAAAATGTTCATRCTATAGAAAAAGAGTTGAAGGAGATGTGCGAATCAAATGCTCTCAGAAGAGGGTGCTTGTGTCCAAATACAAAGGGATTAGGGAAGGTTGTATATGGAAGACAGTATTTGAGCTCTTTTTTGAAGAAAAGATATAGACATGTAAAAACAATAAAGCATGGAGGAAGTTTTATTTCTACCAGTGTGGTAGACTAAATTTTTGGAAAATTCCTTTTACCAAAATATCTAAGTGCTGAATAAATCACATTATCTTTAGTTGTCAAACTGAGAGCTGAAGTTGAAATGGCATACTAGCAGCATGACTCCATTGGGTGCATTTGATAGATAGCAGATAAAGCACAACTGGGGGCAAATGATAGGCTCCCTCTGCTTCCTACCAAGTTAGTTATCCTTGTGACTTCCCAAGTGCATAACTCAAGCAGGCACCATTCACATGGTAGTTCCTAAATTTCTAATGACTTTAGATGGGAATTATCAGAAACAGAAACTATTTTATTTAGATGCTATTTTAGCATTTATATAACAGATGTTAGCAGTGACTCAAATTTTCCAGAAATTGAGAATTAGTGTCCTAGAAACCTATGCTGGAGAAAGCAACTATGGGTTCTTTGCAAAGATTTGCTATGATTAAATTGATGAAGGAAAGAAGTGATGGGATAGCTTGGGACCGACAAGAAAAAGGAACAAAACAGAAGAGATTATGATAATTTAGGTAGCAGTTTACTCAAATCAAGCTTACAATGATGATTTTAGCCATAAAGAAACTTACTTAGCAAGTTGTAAATGTTCCTATTTGGTAGCAAGTCAGATGATCAGAGTCAATGACATGTGCAAGTCAAAAWGACTGAGATTTCATTATTTGGGAAGTCAGGCTGAAATGAGGAAGCTGAGCACAGTGAAGGATTATGCAGAATGGGGTGGAAGAATATATACAAAGTTCATGGGAAATACAACAAAACTTTTTTAGGTCTTCCAGATAATTCTTACATACATAGGAGCAATTTCTTATAATTTAAAAGTATTTCTATGTATTTAAAATTTAAATAAATTAAATATATGAATTTGTTATGTTTTCTAATTCATGTTATTAACTCATTTTTACATAACATCCTCAGTCTAGAATTTAATGGAGAGAGTGATGTGTGCTATAGACGTGTTTAGGTCCTTTTTTCCTCCTTTGTGGAGAAATTGGAAACATAATGGTGAAAAAAAAAAAAACAGTTTCCTGCCCTCATAGAACTTAAAGTTTAGTGTGGAAGGTAAAACAAACAAGTGACCATTAAGTGTGATGGGTGTCCTGATTGGGGAAGGACTGGGTGCTATTGGGAATAGCAGACACATTCAGCTGGAGCCAGAAGGATTGGGACCTGAAAAATTTGTGACATTAACTGGATAGATAATTTGGCAGAGGCAATTACATTGTGGTTGAGTCATATACACAACAATATGCATGAAGGCCTGGAATATGCATAACGTGCCTGGCATTGGCACATTAGAAGATCGATAAGAAGCTATGAGAGTTTGAGTCCTATCTCTTATATTCCCACCCTATAGGTTCAGGTAGTTCTCTTAACTGCTCTAATTTTATTGAGAGGATTAAATAAGATATGTATTTGAGGTGCTTAGTAACATTACTAACACATAGTAAACACTAAGACCTTCTGTAGGGAATAATAAAGATGAGCCAGAAATTATGAACAAAGAGTAGCTAGAGGTGAATATAGAAAGTAAATAGAGATCAGATGATGCAAGGACCTTAAAAAGTAAGTAGAGTCAGATGATGCAAGGACTGCATGGACCACATTAAGAAAAAAAGATAATTTGTTAGAGCTTGGGGTAACCATTGAAGGATTCGTTGTAGGAGAGTAAAATGGTCAGATTGCTATTTTAGAATTAGGAGGATTATTCTGGTTTAAGGTGGCAGCTAGATTGATTGTGCTGAAGACGAGAGGAGGACTGAGTAATGTAGAAAACACAGAATACTTCTCTGGTCACCAAGAAGTGTGAGGGAATTTTTTCCCATAACAGCCAATCAATCTGTAGAAGAAACTATCTGAATGCCTTCTGACTCAATTAATTCTGACAAACACAGAATACTTCTCTGGTCACCAAGAAGTATGAGGGAATTTCTTCCCATAACACCAATCAATTCTGCAAATAAACTATCTGAATGCCCTCTGACTCAATTAATTCTGACAATATCCACCTGAAGATAGTATCAGGTCCTACAGGTTGAGGGCTCAGTCCCATAAGACTGCCCCCATTTCCAGTGCCAATCTTAAGACCCAAGTTGTTTTATTTGTGCTTCTCACTGACCAGCTTATAAATGGGGATTCCCAGAATCCCCTCTTTGGGTTCAAATAATTTTCTAGAGTGACTCAGTTTATGTTAAAAGATACTACAAAGGATGTAGCTAAAGGTATACATATGGTAAGGCATGTGGGGAATGCCAAGGAGCTACATGACCTCCCTGAGCTCACTACCCTCCAGGAACCTCCATCTACATGTTCATCCATCTAGAAGATCTCTAAACCCAGTTCTTTTGGTTTTATGGAAGTTTCATTATATATGTATAATTGATTAAAATATTGGCCATTGGTTATCAGCTTAACCTTCAGCCCCTCTCTCCTCCTGGAAGGTGGGGTGGGGTGGAGCTGAAAATCCTGACTCTTTTTGGGAAGGGTGGTTACTGGGGATTTTAACCCAGGGACAATTTACCACTAAGCTACATCTCCAGCCCTTCTTTTATTCTTTCTTTCTTCCTTCTTTCCTTTCTTTTTTTTGAGAGAGGGCCTCAATAAGTTACTTAAGGCCTCACTGAGTAGCTGAGGCTGGACTTGAATTTGCCATCCTCCTGTCTCAGCCTTTTGATGAAAGGACCTTATGGACCACATTAAGAAGAAAAGATAATTTGTTAGAGCTTGGGGTCACCATTGAAGGATGGTTCCCCAGGTTACCATGCGCTTACTGCACCCAGCAAATCCCAGCACTTTAAGCACACTGTGATCTTTCCTGTGATCAGCACCCATCCTGAAGCTACCTAGAGGTGCCAACCCCAGTTATCTCATTAGCACATAAAAGATAAATTCCAAAGATTTTAGAATGTTTTGCCAAGAAACAGATGAAGTTTGAACATCAGCAAACTTTTTTCTTGTCATAATTCCCTAAATAATATAGTATAACAACTATTTACATAGCATTACATTGTGTTAGGTATTATAAGTAATCTAGAAATTATTTAAAGTATATGGGGAATGTGCATAAGTTATATACAGATACTATGCCATTTTATATAAGGGATTTGAGCATCTGCAGATTTTTCTGAGGTGTCCTGAAACCAGTCCCGCTAAGGATACAGAAGGATGACTATAGATACTTAAAAATATCATAAGGACCCTTCAGAAAGTTAATGATAATCATCTGGCTAAATATGACAATGGTTTAGGTTGAGTAATGGCTATTAAGGTGGAGAGAAGAAATTTAGGGGAATAAGCAGTACTTGGTTATATGTGGGAAAATGGGACAAAAAGTAAGTTTCTGGCAATGGCAAGGGGGTGAATCTTGGTTCCATTTACTGGAAAAGCAAAGAAGAGCAGGTATTGGAATGGTGTGGGGGATGTTTTTGGAGGGGAACAGCTCAGGGTAATAAGTGCAAGGTGGTAGGAATAGATGGCTAAAGTAGACTGAAGGAAACTTATGACTTAYCTTTTTAAATTTGTTTTTCCACTTCAGAAGATCTGTTTGAAATGTGGTGGTTTCAGCAAGGCCTCAGTTTTCTTCCCTCAGCCCTTGTAATTTGGACATCTGCTGCTTTCATATTTTCATACATTACTGCGGTAACACTCCACCATGTCGACCCTGCTTTGCCTTATATCAGGTCAGTCTTTTTTTTTGTATTCATTTGTTTACTGTATTCAAGGTAACATTTTAAGCATTCTTCATGTCTTAGATAATTGAATCTTTACAACATGCATATAAGGTAGGTAGGAAAGGTTATCCTCATTTGAGAGAAGAAGGTATGTTAAGTCACCTTTTGTTACTGTAGTAAGTACTGAGAAAATCAACTTATAAAGAGAATAGGTTTTTGCTGCATATTTTTTAGAGATTTCAGTCCATGATCGATTGGCCCTGTTACTTTGGGCCTATGACAAGGCACCGTATCATGGTGGCAGTGAGTGGGAAAGCAATACCGCTCACCTCATGACCCAGAAGTAAAAGAGAAAGGAAAGAACCAGGGTTCCTTAATCCATTTCAAGGGCATATCCCCAATAACCTGAAGACCTACTACTTGGCCCCACCTCTTAAGGTTCCATCACTTCTAACAGCACCTTTCTGGGGATCAAGGCTTTGACATGAACTTTGGGGAGACCYTGAAGATCTAGCTATAGCAAAAGAAAAGAGGTCCAGGAAGCTTAGGTGATTTGCTCAAGGGCACTCAACTTGGTTAGTGTTGGAATGAAGATACAACCTGGGTAGTTTGACTCTGGGGGCTGTGTTATTTATTCTTTATGACATGCTTCCTAGATAATTCTGACACATTAAGTCTCAACAATTTTGGGTAATTTTTTTGAAATTTCAAAACTACTAATGATGTGAGTATTGTGGGTGTAGGTATTTAATTACATGTGYTATGTTTATAACAATTTTTTTTTAAATTACTAAAAGAGAAGTCTCTTCTAGACTCTTCTAGTTAATTCTTGCCCCCWGCGGTGACTGATGGTTTGATAGATTTCCTTCCTAAGTTTGATTTGTTTTGTCATCTATATTTATACAAAACTCTTTCTCTCTTTTATTTTTTCTCACTTTTAACATATTTTTTTTGGGGGGGTCTTAGTTTTGTTTCATTTGTTAAAAGGTTAATTATATAGGTTAATGATTTTTTTGATTGTTAGAAATAACACTATAATGACAGTTATATAACATGTAACTTTATATATGTATGCTACTATTTATATTTAGGTAGATTCCTAGAAGTGGGATTGCTGATAGGTAATAGCATACCAACATTTTTAGTTTGACACGGCAAATTCCCCTATAATAGCATTTCATCAATTGTGCATTAATAAAGAGGAAATGAGAGGGCTGGGGTTGTGGCTCAGTGGTAGAGTGCTTGACTAGCATGTGTGAGGCATTGGGTTCAAGTCTCAGCACCACATATAAACAAATAARTAAATAAAGGTCCATCAATAACTAATAGGTATATTTTTAAAAAAGAGGCTATGAGAAAAATAATAATCTTTTTGAATGGTTTCTGAGTTAGTAAGATTCAAACTTTTATGTAAAAGTAAAACATTAAATAGGGAGGGAAGATGATGAGAACATTATTAAAATATCATTTTTAAATATGAACATCTACCAGTGTTTTAATCTAAATGATTCTACTTGGAATATAGTTAGGTCCATAACTATTCAACTTCTTTATGATGCTTTGGAAACATCATTCTTCATAGAGATACTGAATGCATTGCTTTTGTTGTTGGAATTAAGTAGCATTTTTCACTTTATGTTTGTTATAGTTATTTAATTTATTCACCTATTTATTTTCTGAAAAATAACCTTTCCAATACAGAAAAAGCAAAATTTTAAAGGTTGATAAACAGAATATTCATTTTGGCTTTTTAAAATGTCAAGGAAAAATCTGGGCATTATCATGTATGTTTGTTTTTTCTAWAGTGGTGAGGTATCAAACAAATGATAAAAGCAAATTTGGTACACTTAGAGAATACTTACAAAACCAACACTTTTTAAAAATAATTTAAGGTTATAAATTCTAGGAATAATTTGATTGATAACTACCACTGTGCTAGAGATATACCCAGCCTAAGGAGCTAGACCATTCTTTAGTAGTTCCTAGAGAAGGCATATATTTAAGATTCATGAGGGCCTTTCAGTATTTTTATTTTCCCTTCTGAGAACTTGTCTTCTTTCACTTTAAAGGAAGTTTAAATAATTTCRGAGGCCACTGAGTTCTTTTTGAGAGTTTCAGTTCTCTGATGGTACTCCATGTGATCTTCTACTAGTGCCCTAGACACTTCCTTTTCTCTCCTGCTTTTAAAATTTTTTCTGCTAATGAACTTGGTGTTACTCTGGAATCTTTCTCTAACATTTTAAGGTATTTAAACTCTAGCACTGATTTTACTTCTCCTAGGTTCATTTCTTTCATTTACAAAATACTTAAGATAGATGTTCTGCAGAGTTCATTTTAGTCTGTAAGTCCTGTCCAAAAGGTTTAGTTGTTACAGCCCCAAAGGACAGAACTGAATGTAAATTGCCCTTAAAGGCAAATATTGCTGCAAGTTCACTTCTCTTTTTTTCCCACTGGGTTAAAGTGGTAGGTGCCCAAGATACTACAGTTAGTAAATAGTGTGTTTTCTATTTGGGTCTATGTATTGCACAGTACCCTGAAGGACAAGCATGTAAACAGATATGTTGCAATGTGGAATGGCAAGTCATTTTGATAGAAATCTGGACAAAGATGTTGTGTTACTCTCCTAGAGGAGTGAGTAGTTCAAGGCTGTAGAGAGGAGAGGCCTCAAAATTGCTCTTGAATGTTAGCTTCATAAGGACAGGGCCTTTTGTTTCACTTCCCTCCATATTCCTGTCTCAAAAATGATGTCTGGCTAATGGTAAGTACTTGGTAAAAAAAAATTTTATTTTGGAACTCGGAATTGAACTCAGAGGTGCTCTACTACTGAGCCATATCCTTTTATATGTTTTATTTGGAGACAGGGTCTCACTAAGGGCCTCTCTAAGTTGCTAAGGCTAGCGTTGTTGGGATTACAGGAGTGTGCCACCATGCCCAGCTTGATACTTTTTTAATAGAGCAAATATTAATTGGATTATAGGCAAAGTCAACAACAGGTGCAAAAAGGCGAGTTGTGAAAGGGCCTATGGTATTCAGGGAGTATTCTGAATAGACAGATGCATGTGCTTGGTTCATGGTAAGTCAGCAACAAAGTCTTAAARTAATAAGGGTAGCTTTTTCTTCATTAAAAATCAATTTATATTAATTTCTATTATGTGGAAGGTAAATAATCTTAAATGTTGTTAAAAAAAGTAAAGCAGGCAAATATTTGAAGTACAAATTATCATGTTCTCTCTATATAGTGATATAAGTTGAGCTCATGGGTTTTTAAAAGATAAAGGGTTTGAAGTAACTCCTGTTACTACTTATTCCGTAGAAGAAATACACACATATATCTAGTGTTATRGTTTGGATCTAGAATGTCACCCAAAGTCTCTTGTGGTGAAAGCTTGGTCATCTATGCAGCAGTGTTCAGTGGTGGGACTTTTGGGAAGAAACTGGATCATGAGGGCTCTGACATGATCAGTGGATTAGTCCCTTGATGGACTCATGGCTGAATGGACTATTTGGAGGTGATGGAAATTGTAGGAAGTAGGGCCTGGTTGAAGGATGTAGGTCCTTCTCTGTGGGCATGCCCTTGGGGACTATATCTTGTCCCTGGCCCCTTTCTCTCTACCCCCTCCTCTTTCTGACCTCTTCAAGGTGAGCAGTTTCCTCACCATGAAGTACTGCTTCTCCACAGGCCCAGAAACAATGGAGTCAAGTAACTGGACTTAAACCTCTGAAATTGTGAGTTGAAATAAATTGTTCCTTCTTTCAGTTGTTTATCTCAGGTATTTTGTTGCAGCAATGAAAGCTGACTAAAACATGAAATGTGATAAATTCACATTTTCTTTTTTTCTTTCAGTGACACTGGTACAGTAGCTCCAGAAAAATGCTTGTTTGGGGCAATGTTAAATATTGCTGCAGTTTTATGTAAGTAATGAGAGAGATTTTATCAATCAAAATTAATACTAATTACTATTTTCTTCTTTAAACACAATCGTGTCAATTATTTTATTGTTATAATTGAGGAAATGTTTTATGAACCAAAACTTTATTGATTTACTGAAATATACTTTCTTTAGCTATGATTGTTTTAAATATTTGAATTCATTTATGTGATATTTATTGTTTGCTTGTGTCAAAAACAAGGAAAATTATTCAATTTATAGAAATTTATTTTATAGCTGAACTCTTCAGAAGTATATCTGTAAAAGCATATCTTTGTTATGTTTTTTGGCAATACTTTGGCAGTGGAAAGTTTGACTTGGCCCTTTCTTGACAAGTAAGTATGGAAGTGGGCTTTTTTCCTRTATAATCTGAATGTTATATCTGATTGAGCCAAATTCTAGTAATTTGAAATAAAATGATATGAGAATGAAGCATATAAACTTTTGGATATTTTTTCCTGTGCTTATTTCATTCAAATTATAGAGCAAGTTACATTTGCCTTTGATGCTAATCATGAAGATATCTTGTGTTTTATAGAGCTCTTAGACATCACACATCTCTTAAGTTTTATACTAAATATTTATAGACATGAGACTAATGGAAGGCAAACAACTTGCTCAGACACACAGAGAAACCAGTAGTTCTATGATGCAACCTTAAAAGTTCTTAAAATCTACAGCTTTTTTTTTTGTTGTTGTTGTTGTTCTCTCAGATTAACTTTAAAAGGAAAAATCTGTGCTTCTGGATAGCAGTGACCTTTGTGAACTCTTCATTGGCAACTTTATTCCCTGGTTATTTATTACTTTGTTGTTTTTCGGATTCTCTCTTCCCAGGCATTGCCACCATTTATGTTCGTTATAAGCAAGTTCATGCCCTGAGTCCTGAAGAGAACCTTATCATCAAATTAAACAAGGCTGGCCTTGTACTTGGAATACTGAGTTGTTTAGGACTTTCTCTTGTGGCAAATTTCCAGGTTTGTGTTTTAGCCCAGCATAGGTATTTTTTTGAAGTACCTAATTATACATGTTTAAAAAGGAAGCTTGAAACATTCAGTTACATGCTATTTTTGTCTTTGCCTTAATAAAATGGAATCTACTGCCTTATGTTGTTGACCCTGTTAGAAATAGCTACTTTCACAATAAAAAATTCAAATGCAGTAATTAAAAAAATATACTTTATTCTAACTTTTTAAAGGATCCATTGGACAGTTAATTAGCCTCTTTATTACTACTTAATTGGATATTGTTTCAAGACCAAACAGAATTGATATAAGTGATACAATCAGAGACTTAAACACCAGTTGTTTTGTTGTTCATATGATAAGTCACAATCATTTTCCTACTTTATGTACTTGTTGGATGTTTCAGTTGGTTGCCTTCCCATTCCTAGGTGCCTAGCCCATTAGGAAGTAAGGAAGGATCTATAGCTTTTCTAGCTTTTTTGGGGGAAATTTCTAATATTACTATCATTATTAATAAATAATAGTATTAGTAATATTAGTTACTAGTATTAGTAATATTAATTCCTAATATTACTGTTCCTAATAGTAGCAATCAGCCTCACCAAATACACTCATTTGAAACTTGACAGTAGTGTGCTTTCTRAGAAATATATTGATAGTCAGTTTTGTTGTTGTGCAAACATCATAGATTGTACTTACACAACCTAAGATGCCAGTATGTAATCTAGTCTTATAGGACAACCATATATATGTGGTCCTTATTGATGGAAACATTTATGTGGTGCATGACTGTATTTGTAAACTCTCCACATTCCTGTCTGTTGATGCTCTTCAGAGGAGTGGATAGTAATAATGGCTCCACGCTTGGTATGTGTTAGATTTTGATTAATCTCCCTGCAGTCTTTAAAAGTTYTGGATTTTTGCAGCATTTCATATTTCCAATTTTTAGATTAGGGATGCTCAACATGCAGTAAGCTCTATAAGCGTAGTCTATGTGGACATTAAGGTAGCTGCTATAACAAAGCCTGAATTTTCAGTGGCTTATCACAGTAGAGGGTAGAGGGTAGAGGTCTTACACATGAATCCAATACAGGTTTTTTTTTTTTTTTTTCTTTTTTTTCCCATTGACTCGTGGCTTTTCTCCCAGAGTAATTTAAAGCCTAGYCTATGTCCATCTTTGGGCCTTGTCATGCCCTAGGGCCTCTGTTTACTGTAGCTATTTGGCTGAAACAGTAAATTAGGAGATGGCAAAAGTCACACCTACTTCTTAAAAATTTTAGCATATGTTAAAAATTTATTCATAAAACTTATTAGGCAGATGTTCTTTAGGGCCATCTTGACTAGCAACTGCTGTGAGATTTTGCAGTAGCAGGAAGAAATTGGGCTCACCTCTAAATGCAAAGAAAAATGGGAATTTATAGTGAAGAAGCAGCATGGTGGTCAGTGGATGGAAAATTACTGAGAAGAAATATCAGGGATAAGGAGGTATTCTGACTAAACTCACCTAATAGGATTCTTGCTGAAAGCAGACCAGGGTGATTAGATATCACCTGGGGGATGGTGGAGTTTGAGGAACCCAATCAGGATCAGCAGATGTTTAAGATGGGGGATCCTAGTTAAATTGACTTAGACAGACTCTTGCTAAAATTGGATTGCAGAGATCAACATGGAATTCCACATGTCAGGCCTAGTTAAGAAGAAAGTTTAGAGTATTGTTTGGTCAGGGCAAGATTCCCWGCTACCTTGTGGTGACTCACATCATTCTACAGATTTCCATTTGCTAGAAGTGGAGGTTGGGGATCAGGGGGTAACTAGAAAATGTAGTTTTGCTGGGCATTAATGTTCTGAACAACTCTGTACTATCTATAGAAGGGGAATAAAATTTTTGGTGGACAGTTAAGTAGCTATCTATGACATAAATAGAGTCCTGCCTTTTTTCATCAGTTTTTATAGATCTGTGTTAAAAATTACTTTGGGAACTGGGCACAGTGGCACAAACCTGTAATCCCAGCAGCTTGGGAGACTGAGGTAGGAGGATGGCAAATACGAGACCAGCTTGGTCAACTTAGTGACACTCTGTCTCAAAATAAAATTTTAAAAAGGGGCTGGGATATAGCTCAGTGGTAGAGTGCTTGCCTAGCATGAATGAAGCCCTGGGTTCATTTCTCAGTACCATACACAAATTTGGGGGGAACTTTTAGGGCATGGCTAGTGATTCATTGATGTAGTTGTCCTTTGATAATTTAACAAGATCTCATATCACCCATAGGGTAAAAATGAATCTTAAATATTTATCCAACCCAGTAAATTCCAATAGTATTCCCTGATAGAACTCACATGAGCTGCTTTTCTACCTTGATCTCATTCATCTACTAAGACAGTTTATATGCTTGCTTTTTTGTTTTGTTTTGGATTCCTCTTGGCCTTTTAATTTTACATAAGATTACTCTTTCTCTCTTAATTGCATCTCTTCATGCAACTTTGGACCTGTTGAATGTCCTCTTCATCTTTCACTGTTGGCTTCCTTGCTGGCCCGGTTCATTAGCAGACCCTGCAGCATTATTATCTAGATATCTAGTAGCTCACCTTCCTCTGTAATATAAACTTTTCCTACTTATGTAAAGTGGTGACTATATTGCCTCCTCCTTCCTCTTTTCTTTTGCAGTTATAAACTCTATTTGACTTACACAGCAAAAATTATATTTGAACTTGGTCTGTATTTTCACTTGAAAGAGAGTTTAACACTATATTTGTTTTAAATAGATTAAGAACCTACTGTTTTTATCTTTTAAATATTTCTTGTGCATCTGTTTCTATTTCCATCTCTGTTTCCCTCTGTTTTGGTCATCTTTTTCATTGCTGTGACCAAAGCCCAACAAGAACAATTTTAGAGGAGGAAAAGTTTATTTGGGGGCTCACAGTTCCAGAGGTCTCAATCCATAGACAGCTGGCWCCATTCCTTGAGGTTTGTGGAGGGGCAGACATCATGGCAGAAGAGTGTGGTGGAGCGAAGCAGCTCACATAATAATCAAGAAGCAGTATATATTATATAATATACCTCAAMAGGCACACCACCCCCTGCCCCCCACAATACCCACCTCCTCCAATTACACCCTACCTGCCTTCAGTTTCCACTCAGTTAATCCTCATGATGGGATTAATTCACTGATTGGGTTAAGGCCCTTATAACCCAATCATTTCAACTCTGAATATTTTTACATTGAATCGCACATGAGATTTTGGGGGACACCTACTATCCAAACCATAACACTTTCTCTACCATCTCCTTTTTAATCAATTTAGATTTCATTATCTCTCATCCAAACCATTGGTTCCTCTATATTTACTCTTATTTGCTTTTAATAAGTTCTTGATATTGGAGCCAATGTGATACTTCTGAAATGTATATCTATCTCACTCTTTTTTAAATGTGTACTCTTGCTTAAATCTTTACAGGTTCAGAAAATACATGAAAAAAGAATCAAGAGAGGAAAAATAATTAATTAATTAATTAACTCTAAAGGTCTTAATATAATCTCGGTTTTGTCTAACCATCTAGCCTCATCATTCTTGTTCTTAGTTTCTCTGGTGTATATAATGCCAGCCTCTTTAGGGTTCCTTAAATAAGACAGGTTTATTTAACTCTTTTTTCATATGCTATTAGGCATGCCACAACCCAGAGCTTAAGAAGATTTAGGCTAAGATCTTTAGCCTAAGATCTCAGCACATACCATAATTTTCTGTCAGTTCCTCCTATAGAATATTTTGAATTTTCTTTTTTTCATGTGTATTCTCTAAGCTTCTGAAAACTGAGGCCTCATAGCTCTTATTACATTCTAATTTTATATCAGTGTTTATTTAAATTTATTGAATTTTTTGATTGATAATGTTTCTTCATTAATTTTAAGTGCAGTGGTTTTGTTCACCACTGCATTTCTAGCACCTAACAGTACTTAGCACAAATACACTCTGATTAATTATTTAGGAACTTATTGAGAGAGGCCAAAGGACGAAGCAGATTGAAAAAAAACAAATGCTGTTACTACTACTATGGCTGTTTTCATTTTAAGAGATGCCTAGCTGTGTGCCATGGTGCATGCCTGTAATCCCAGGGGCTTGGGAGCCTGAGACAGGAAGATTGCAAGTTCAAAGCCAGCCTCAGCAATGGCGAGGTACTAAGCAACTCAGTCTCTAAATAAATAGGGCTGGGGATGTGACTTAGTGGTCAAGGATCCTTGAGTTCAATTCCTGGTACCTCCACCCATATACCAAAAAAAAAAAAAAAAAAAAAAAAAAAGCCTAGTAACTACTATAATAGAGTATTTGAAGAATATTTAAAGATTAAATATTTTGAAAACAAATTTGTACAAATGGTTAAGTGTCCTCAGTGCCCACAGAGGCATTTTTCCCTCTAGTAAGTTTATACTCCAGGAAACTTAGAAGGGACTAATAAGCAGAAAAATGTATTAGTTTCCTTGGGCTGCCATAACAAAATGCTGCAAACTGGGTAGTTCAAGAGAAATTCATTTTCAAAGTTGACAGGGCCAGAAGACTAAAACATTAAAGTGTTGGTAGGGTTGGTTCTCTCTTGGGTACTCTAGGGAACATCTTCTCCCAATTTCTGATAATTTCAGATAATTTCTGGTCCTTTTTTGGTTTTTGACAGCATAACTCTAATTTATACCTTGGTCAGCATGGGGCATTCTCTCTTCCCAGAGAGAAGGGTTAAGAATAAGTAAGTGGAAAATTAGTTTCTAAGTTTTATTAACTGCTTTTAAGTAAAGATTTTAGATCACTTATAAAATATATAAGTTTTATGTCTTAAGATTTGCATACTTATCTCTATAATTTCTTGTTTGTGTTTATTTCATTAAAGGATAAATTTTTGAGTTGTTAAGGGATATATTTTCAAAGGGATAAAATCATACCTTTTGTACAGGTATCAAATATTTTATTGAACTTATTAATTATTGAAGCAAACAATAGATATTATAAACTAGTTAAAAAGAACAGTCCAAGTAACATACATGTGTAGTTAGAGAATATGTGAATGAAKTTACAAATGGATGCAAAATTAGCGAAATTGGTCATAATTCACCCGGTGGTAATCAATTGTATTCAGTAGAACATAATTTGCATTTGTATGGTTAGGGATCATTTGATTATTATAATTTTCTCTTGAGTTAATGTCTGCTCTTGTTTATCAACTTCTGTCATTATAGAAGATCTTACCTTATATTTACTTAGTCTCTAAAATGATATTATTAAGCAGAAAAATTACCATTAAAACCAGTTTTATGTACATCCATTTCAGTTTTTTAAAAAGTTAAATACTCTCCATTCTTTACTTTTTAATTCATGGGATTTTGTTAAGGAGCTATGTTCTGACATTGATCAGGCTATGTCTATACTTCGGCAATGTGTAACACCCTAAACCACATAAAAATAGCCCTTTCTCTCTCAAAAGGAAGCCAATGCCCCTAGCAAATAAATTACAATCTCTTATTTCTTTATACTAGGAATCTTCTCTTACCTTCATCTAAGAAAATTGAACTCTGTGTTTGTGTATTAGTACAGTTGATTATAAAAGAGGAGAATCAAGCTCTAATCCCTTTTCTTTTGTCGTCTTAGTCATTACATATCTTCTGTGTCAAGTACTGTATTGGATCTTTTCAAACAAAGGAAATATAGATGACACCAGTTTAGAAAAACAGGGATTCAACTGAAAACCTTTTGATTGCAGAATTTTAGAGAGCTCTGTTGTCTTTTTAAAGCAGAGTGTACATATAATGTTAAAAAGTAAAATATAAGGGGCTGGGGCTGTAGCTTAGTGGTAGAGCACTTGCCTTGCAAGTATGAGGCACTGGGTTTGATCCTTAGCCCCATATAAAAAATAAACAAATAAAGATATTGTGTCCATCTATAACTTAAAAATTTTTTAAAGTAAAATATAAGCAGATAACTATAGGAAGGAGAAAAAATTATAATTTATAGTATTCCCTGGTGTATAAGGCCAAAGGAGAGTATTTTAATTTGAGCCCTTAAAATACATTTAAATTTAAGCTGAATTTAAATCAAACCACCTCATCCCCAGCATTCCCAGCCATATTAATCCTTCTTGAACTACTCTTTCTATTACCCTTATCACCATGTAATGTACTGTGGAGTTTCCTTATTTCTAAAATTTATTATTTATTGTTTGTGTAGCCTCACTAGAATATAAACTCTGTAAGCGCTGGATTTGTGTCTGTTGTGTTCACTTATGTATCTGAGGACTTAAGTAGTACATGGCTTCTAATTAAGTACCCATATTATTAAATGTAAACATATTATTAAATGAGTAAAAGAACAAATCAGTAATTACTATCATATTTTCAGTGGTAGTATATGAAGTAATTTGGTTTTACTGTAATCTTCAGGTTCATGTTAAATATTAAAAGAAAAATGTTATTTGTTTTTTAAAGATTGACTAGCTTCACTTAGCATAATCTGCTCTAATGCCATCCATTTCCCTCCAAATTCTATGATTTTGTCATTTTTTAATGCAGAGTAATACTCCATAGTGTATAAATGC